GAGTAGTGCTTTGTCCATATCCTGGAGGCAGGGTATGTTAGATATAAGGGTACTTGGTGACGTCACGTGTCGATCCTGGAAGTATGTCAGGATCAGGGCGTGACAGCAACGATAGTGATTGAGCCTTCCTGGCCACTAGGCTTGTGATATCCCGTCTTGAATTTTAGTATTTTATTTCATTTTTAGAAGTATTTTGGAGATTTAATTGGAATTATTTTGTTAACTTTTCAGGTTTCAAGAAAGTGTTTTTGGTCATGTCGAATTTCCTCAACCCTTTCTATCAACTTTTTAGTTGTTTATGTAGGGTTTGAACCCACGAGCGTGTAGGGGCAAACGAATCTTAATTCGAAATCAAAACGAAAAAGTTAAAAATGTTTAAGTTGGAGGGCATTTTGGTAATTTAACCCAAATGCTATAATTTTTTTTTTTTAGGTGGGGCGGGGGGAGGGGAACTACCTAATTGATCCAGAAGCTTTCCAAAACAAAAAAGTTGTTGCTGACTTGTTTTGGGGGGAGATTGGACCTGTCGCAAACTTGACCTCCTCATATCTCCTTTATCTGACCTCCGTATGGGGTGATCTTAATGTCCATGGAAAGCTCTTGGCGAGCACAACGTTCATGTGGTGTTATATTTCCCATTTTTCCAGTTCAAAGCCACAAAGCCCTCGACTTTTCCTGCATTTTGGTCATTTTTCGATGATTCCGACAACCATTTCGAACAAATGCGGTATGAAACTTCATCTACCCTTCATAATCTACAAGTTGGTATGCTTAGTTCGTGTTATTGTTGTAGTTGTAGTGTTCGGTGTTTTGAACCTTAGAAATCCGATTTTCCTTGGTGAATTTCGACGGTTTTCTGCTTGAATTTGTCATTGGCCTTGTTCAAAAAGTGTCTCCTTTGTTGAGCTCTAGCTACCTCATAAATTTGAGCCATTTTGGTTAATGTTGATAAATTCGGGTTTACCAAACCCTCGACCCTGGCTACCACCGCGTCTGGCGGTGCATGGGACCCATCCATAAGTGTTGTCTAAGTACCAAATACCTTCTAGTGACATTGTGAACTTGTGTCTAGCTCGGTTTCCCGAAATTCAATTGTTTTGTAAAGTGATTAAATTGGACCGCCACTCATTTGTATCCAACCATTGGATCGTCTCTCAATTTTGTAATCATCCTAGCTATTAATGGACCTTTGAGAAGTTACGGATCAAAAATCAGATGTGCGGATCTTCCAAATTGAATAACCTAGTGTTGTTGATCTTAGTGGATCTACTTTAACAACAGTTGACTTTTTAGTTAACTTGCCCTACTCTAGAGTGTCATTTAGTTTTAAAATGTTGTTGAGGCTTGATGAAGCTTAGCCATGATGATGAGTCGTTCCCGGTTGACGTGTGTCTCGATTACGTGGAAGTTACATTTGGCCTATGTTTGTGTGTCAATCTTGTTAAGTTTCCTAAGTGGGGTTTGTGTATTGTATTAGGTTCCTTGGAGTGGAGTTGGTGAATATAGAATTGCAAATAACCTAGGTGAGTGATTATAATATTATGTGATATGGTTATTACCCGTGAAACTCCCTTGTTATATACTATGTGGATATAACATGGATTTTCAAATGATTTTATGGAAATTTGTATTATTATGCTATGTTTACTTAATGGTGTGCTATGCTTGAAATGATTGTATTATGTGAGGGCTAGTAGATGATTGCTAACCTAATACATGCGATACTGTGGGATAGAATCGGAATCTGCATCATATAGTAGTGGTACATGGATGGTTCTACTTGGTTAATCTACAATGGAAGACCATACTACTTTGGAATTGCACTTGGTTAATCTGCGATGGACGATCCTTATTACTTAGGTATGGCCATACATATTTAGGGGTGATCATGCTTGGTTAATCCGTGATGGGTGATCACTGCCTATTCATATTCCTAGGAGTGACTCTGCTTGGTTAATCGATTATGGGGGTCACTACATACATGGTGTTCTCAGGAGTGGTTCTGCTTGGTTAATTCATAATAGGGGACCACATCTTGATTGGTTATCTATTGTAGGCTTCGATCGAATTGTCTCTCTATAACCCTAGAATATTGTTGATTACATACATGAAAAATTAGATTGAAGGCTTGTGTGGCTCAATCTAGAAAGAGTTGAATCAAATAGTTTACATGATGATGTTGCCTAAAAGTGAATGATTTCATATGTTGACTCATTCCTACTCGTAACAAAGAGATGCAATGATGAAATAGATACCAATCTCATTCCTACACGTGATAGTATTATTGATGGTGTGTCATTCCTACACAAGTTCGGGTTGTGTGATGACAGAATGTTATCTTGATAGACATGTGGAGAGATTCGAAATTGAATAACCATTCCTATATGTATCAATTAGGTGTATGGTGGTTAAGTTATGAAATATGTGGCAATTAGACCCTTATGATTACTAGGAATTGATGAAAGGTGAGTGGTATGTCATAATCCAAAGAGAGTGCCGAAATGGTATTGACGGTTAATACAGTATTTAGAAGAAAGTCCTGTGTGGACGTAGCACTACTTTGACATTTAATCATTTGATTGATTTATATTCACATATGATGTATTATTGTCACTCACATGAGCTTCGCAGCTTATCTGGGTTTTGGTTTGTCTGGTGCACCATTCCCACGACGTAGGGTTGTCTTGCAGTGTAACAAGTAGTGGTTAGTGAATCAGATCTCAAGTGGTGTAGTTTGTGGGTTGTGCACTCGAAAGTAGGCACGCTTTGTTGTAAGTTTTCCGCCGAGCCCTGATATATATTGTATGTATGAGTCTCAGTTACTTTATGTATTTTATATTGTACATTGTCCTCCCATCGCGCATTGATTATGGGCAGGCGTGGCAAGGCTGTTGCGGCATGGCTTGCTGCTTGGGCTTGGGCCTGCTAGGTTGCCTGGCTGGCAACAGCTGCTGCGGCTTGGGCTGCTACAAAAATCTGCATGTCCATAATGCTTTTCTTCGTGGTGATGTTGTGGTGGAAATCTACATGGACCCTCCACTCGGTCTTCGGCGACATGGGAGAATTTAGTGTGTCACCTACACAAATCATTTTATGGGTTGAAACAAGCTTCAAAACATTGGTTCTTTAAGTTTTCTCAAGCTCTTCATGTTGTAGGACATGTTCAATCTAAAGTCGATTATTCTTTATTTACCAAGCAACAAGGAAAGTCCTTTACAGTCCTTATTTATGTTGACGATATTTTGATTACAGGAAATGATTCGCATGCCATTGATGGTCTTAAAAGTCTTTTAAAACTTTCTTATCAAGGATCTTGGTAATTTAAAATATTTTTAGGCATAAAAGTGGCACGCTTCAAGAAAGGTATTTTGATTTCACAAAGAAAATATTTATTAGGTATCCTTGATGATGTTGGATTTTTAGGCTCGGCAGGCAAAATTTCCAATGGAGCAAAATCTCAAATTGCTTCCTGATGAGGGAGTGGTTTTTAAAGATCTTGCAAAATATCGAAGATTGATTGGTCATCTCATTTATCTCATCATTACATGGCCAGATATTACATATTCACTTCACCTATTGAGTAGGTTTATGCAAACTCCTCGGATTCCACATTATGATGCTGCTTTGCGTACTTTGAAATACCTCAAGAGCACCCCTGGCCAAGGTATAATGTTTACTTCTCAAAATGATTTAAAGTTGAAGGCGTATTGTGATTCAGATTAGGCATGTTGTCCTACTACTCGACGATCCACGATAGGCTATTGTGTGTTTATCAGAAATTGCCTTATCTCATGGAAGAGCAAAAGTTAGAAAACGGTGTCTTTATCGTCAGCGGAAGCAGAGTAGCGTTCTATGGCAGCAGCGTGTTGTGAACTAGCATAGCTGCAATACTTGTTTCATGATTTGAGGATTAAAAATCAAGGGCCAGCTACCCTATTTTGTGATAACCAAGCAGCCTTCCATATTGCTGCCAACGAACTAGACACATTGAGATTGATTGTCATTTTGTTCGAGATTAGATTATGGAAGGAAATATCGTCACCAGATTCGTTCCATCCACATTAGGAAGGAGTTTTCGAGGTGCCATTCAAGGAGAAGGTCAAGCCCTTCCTCAAGGATGATTCCAAAAAAAAAAGTAGTGCTTCAAGAGATTGAATCCAAATCTCTATCTTTTGTCTTTAACCCGCGAGCTTAGCCATCAACCTGCCTTTTCTCCGCGAAGCCGACTAGCGTCACCACCGCCAAAGTGAAGCATGCTTTCCCAAAATAAAAACCTTATGAAGCACAGATATGGGAACGAGAGCTAGAATTTGGGACTTGGGAAAGGGGGTTCAACATTCCGTGAAAACTCAAACAATCCTAATTTAAAAATGGCAGAGATTCGCCCCGATCGTCAAACCACTGCAAGTCGCAAGGCGTGGACTAATAATTGTAGCATGTTCCAGTATCAATGAGTGGCCCTCTTATCTTATGAACTTATTTCTACGATTGTTTTTCCAGATTCAAATGTTTGGTTGAAAAAATCGTAATTGACCGTGGTTCCATTTTTTTAACATGGCAATACAATCGTTGGATTGTCATAAATTTTAATTGAGGTTTCTGAACTTTAATAAATCGAAAAATTAATATTTAATTAAAAGCTGGTGTTAGGTTACATATTTATTTAGTTCTTAGATATGTACTTTAATTCATATTCTGTTTTTGTTTTAGTGTTTAATGTGTATAATATTCAATTAATGTCTCCCATTAAATATTTGAATTTGTTAATTTACACATTTTAATTTATTAATTTTGTTTAACATCCTCCAATTATATCCTTATAAATGTACCTAAATGAGAAAATATTCAAAAAATAAAAATAATGACAAATAAGAAACATGTAAATATATAAGTGTACCGAAATATATTAAAAGGAATTGATGTATCTAAATGTTTATGACATACCTAAATGTCTATACTGAAATGTATTATATTAAATTAACGTACTTAAATATCAGTATCGAAATGACCATACTAAATATATTAAATGAATTAATCTACCTTGATTCCCGCACTTCCCAGGTTGAGCTGCAGGGCCAGGCTCCAATAAGGGCATCCACCTCCTCCTACATTCAAATACCTAAAATAAAAGAAAATGTGAAATATTTGATAGGATCCATTTAGGAAACGTCGAATACCAAAAATATATTAAAATGAATTGATGTACCCAAATGTATGTATTGAAATATAAGATGTACTAAATGTCTATACCGAAATGTATTGTATTAAATTAATATACCTAAATATCTGTACCGAAATGACTATACTAAAATATATTAAATGAATTAATCTACATAAATTGTAAGATCCCACATCGATCAACGGAGACGAGGTGATGTGCCTTATATGTACATGTTCCCCTCCCTATAGTACGAGACTTTTTGGGAACTCACTGGCTTCGGATTCCATCGGAACTCCGAAGTTAAGCGAGTTCGGGCGAGAGTCCTAGGATGGGTGTCCCCCTAAGACGTTCTCGTGCCGAAACCCAAAGACAAAATCGTGAAGGTGTGGCTCAAAGCAGACAATATCGTGCTATGGCGAAGCTGGTTTGGGATGTGGCATAATGGTATCAGAGCCACTTTGCCATCGGTACAGATGTTCCAGTAAGGGCGTCGGGTTCCCCTTAAATAGGGTGGATTGTAAGATCCCACATCAACCAACGGAGAGGGGGTGATGTGCCTTATATGTACATGCTCCCCTCCCTATAGCACGAGGCCTTTTGGGAACTCACTAGCTTTGGATCCCATAAGAACTTCGAAGGTAAGCGAGTTTGGGCGAGAGCAATCCTAGGATGGGTGACCTCCCTGGGAAGTTCTCGTGCTAAAACCCAAAAACAAAACTGTGAAGGTGCGGTCCAAAGCGGACAATATTGTGTTATAGACCAACCTGTCTGGGATGTGACATAAATGAAGAATAGAAAGTGTATTGAAATATAGTTACGGATGACAATTTTAACCGCTAAACACGATAACCGTGGATAACTGCCTGAATAGATTGGATTTGTATATGAAAATTAGGGTATGGTATGGATTTGGGGAAAAACCGTGAACTTTATTTGGTTATGGTTTTGGATATGGTTATAGGGGTCCCCAATCCGTATCCGTCCCCGAATCCAACCTGAATATATATATATATATATATATATATATATTTTTATTCAATTTACCGAACCCTCCCTATACTATCTTTATTATGCACCAAACATCATGCATGGGGCATACCAACAACCTCATTAATTCAACACTCTTATTGTTATACTCAACCAAATTAATTCATCGAATCATTTTATATATCAATTATCAAATATTACAAGTTTATCAGATTCATCTCTCTTCAAGAGTCTCACTGTCAAGAAATTGGTGCATGTTATCATAAACAACTTCAAATATATTGTTAGTTTTTTGTAATTGGATGTTGCTAATTAATGACGGAATTAGTATCTACTAAAATTTATAATGCGTCAATTAGATAAATATATATATATATATATATATATATATTTTTTTTTTTTTTTTGACGAAGATGGATATAACCTATAACCGATTGAAAATCTGTTATCCGGTGGATATGGTTATGGATAATCCCTGATAGTTAATTTGTGGTTATGGATATGGTTAATTTTCGTGGTTATGGGGATGAATATAGTATTTTCGTCCCCAAACCGAACCGTTGCCATTCTTAAATATAGTTTACCTAAATAATGATAACAAAAAAAAAAAAAAAATTAAAAAAATATCATAATACAATTAAATGAGGAAAAAGAAAAATAATATAATTATGAGGTTACTAAATGCATCAAGGGACTAAATTTGATTTTAATCTTACACAATGTTTTAGTTTAAGAGTTACATTTTTGAAGGATTAGAATGCAGTTTTGTATTTTAATATGTTATTGTTGGTACTGTGCGTGACTTGCAGAAACTTACGTATGTAAACCTGAAGTTCGTAGACTTTAGATCAAAGATTTTAGGGTTTAGGACCCTGGGGGCGCCACTTTAACCAAATGGCTAACTATCTATCAGCGTTCCCCATAGCATCCTAGCATCTCATAGCCAACATATACGATTCTGATTTGATTGTTGTTCCACTTGATCTCAAGTTGACTGGTAAAGCAATAATATGGGTTAAACAAAACGAACAAATTCACACAAACAACTAAAAACCTCATAAAGAGCTGAGGAATGAAACAAAAAACAAGGAAAAATCAAAAGACGCACCTTGTACCTTGTCTCTCCAGATTCCTTTGCCTATAGAACACTGGAGCACAAGTTGTTTGTTTATAAAGCCAACTGCGTATATATGCCTTTTTTTCCCTTTCTAAGTAAAACCGAGTGATGGGAAATTGAAATTGTCAAAAAATGAAATCAAGAGGCACGGAAAAGAACGAAATTGACCGAACATAATTTTTCTTTTTTCTTTTGGTTTTTGGATTCGACTTTTCACTTTTAAAAGTAAAGGAAAGTAGATTAAGCAAAAGAAGGTTGCTGTGATAAAGAAACCAAAACCAGACAAGAGAAGGGCAATGGGAAGAACTACTCTCTTAGCAGATAATGAGAAGGGCAATGGGAAGAACGACTCTCTTAGCAGAAGAAGATCAGATAAATAATGTATGAGAGAGATAACGTGGTACGACAAAGAAATGCAATTGAAAAAGACTAAAAGCGAGGACTTAGTGGTCCTTGGCAGGCAAGAAATAGCTGTATTAGTTGACGTCAATCTTAAATTATAACTTAATTTTCCTGGCAATTATTTAGCACTTTAGCGTGGGAATCTACACCAATTATTTAGCACATTTGATTCATCGACGAAATTGTACTGACTGTATTAGCTATGAAAATAATTTTATTTTATTCTATTATGTTGCGGTTTGAATCTGATTCAAGTAAGCACTTGACCAGTAAGCTTTTTAAGTTGATCAGTAAACCTTAGGAGGTCGCATGATCACTTGATCAGGAAGCTTTAAGAGGTCGCATGATCACTTGATCAGAAGTGCATATTAATTTTTTACTATCGTAAAATGACAATTATTTCCCCATTGTGTTTGTACATCATTTAAGATCGAACAATTAAAAATTACGTAATATAAAATATTTTGAAGTACCATATAATTTTTTGAACGGAAGACGAAAATAGCAATTACATATATTATGTTATGTATGTCGTCATCCAGAAAATAAGCAGGGTGTCATAATGATGTGAACTGTGAAGGGAGGCTTGATAAACTTGTAGATCCAGCTGTCATAACGCTAGAATATGTATATGAACAAATAATTCAACTCTTATGTCGCTATAAAGGAAATTAATAGAGAATTTTAGTCATTAAAAAATTAATAATTCAACTGCAAAATTAAAATATTAAATCTATACTAATACCCACTACTAGTGAACCAACACTTATTAATTTGAAGATTTGACATAATGTTAGAAAATGGATATGAAACCAATAATTCAACTCTTATCTAGGGATGGGCAAACAGGTAGAGGAACCGCGTGTCGGGACAGGTAATGTAGGTTCGGGGCGGGTACGGGACAGTTCCAAATATTGTAAAGAGTAAACGGGCCACGCCGAGGCGGGGCAGGGCGCTGTCAAATACAGGGCGGGCCATGTCCTAATCCTTAGAAAAAGGGACCCCAGACTGACCAGTTTCTAATAATAATGAACGGTCGAGATTAAATGATACCCTATCATCTAATCTCAACCCTTAATTCCTACCCTAGTCGATGTCCCATGTGTCCACTGTCCAGGTTTCCACTTTCAGTTTCAGCTTTCAGTCACTCACTCCAATCTCCATCGTCTTCTCGAATCTCGACAACATCACCCATCCAGCCTCACCGCTGTCGCAACGGATAACAGCACCACCTATCCAGCCATCCTCCTCGACGACATCCCAGAGAACCCAGGTCCCAGAACCACGACTCGATTTTCTCCTCTTGGACAACACCACTGCCGTCGCAACCACTATCACCCCATCGCCGCCATCGAGGACGCTGCTACCAGCCATCATCCCTCTAAAATTTAGGTAATTTTGAATTAGGGATTTGTTATTAATTTGAATTTCGGGTATAGGGATTTTAGGGTTTTTAAATTAGAATTTGCGATTTTAGGGTTTTTGAACTAGGTTACTAGAGTTAATTTTGCAATAGATTGATGATTGATCTGTTTGCTTCTGAGAACCCAGAGGGCCTTTGATAATATTGAATGTTTGGATTGGACTATTAGAAATCCTGTTTGCAGTACATATGCAGCAACAACTTTGTTTGATGAATAAATCAGGTCATATTGTTTGTTTTTGGTTCCGATTTGGACGCTACGAAATCCTCCTGGCAACCGGTCTAGACAACCTAAGGCGATTTGTGTTGGTTAATGCTTTAAAGTTCAATGTATCTGTCAATTTATTTAAAATGTTAATGCTTTAAGCCTTTTGATTACAAAGCCAAATTACTACTCTAAACTAGGAAGCAGGGGCTAGGGAGTAGGGACTAGGGAGGGTTCAAACCCCGAACAGTTATATCAAACCCCATATAAGGTTATGTAATTTTAAGAGAGCTGTTGCATAAATCATTTCTTCTGCTAAATCTGCACATTGACACCTCTGAGAGAATTTCAGAAAATAATGTCAAAGCATCAGCTTAGACCAATCTTTGTCATTTGTATACGTATGATATGCTTTGAGTGCGGGAGTTCATGTTTGAATCTCAATATTTCATACTAGAATGCTACCGAAATGCAGGTTGAGGAATTGGCTTCTCTTGTTAAAGACAATCTTACTTGCAAGCATCATATTCTCTCAGTGGAAAAGTCCTTGGTGGACTTGCTTTAGAGTGATACCAGGCATGTAAGACAAACTCCTAAATGTTATTAGCATTGCCATTTCTTATGAGATTAGTTTTAGAGTAAAATATTAAAATTATATGGAGCAGGAGTGATGCAATTCTTTGTGGTATATCTACAGTAAAACTGTGACATCCCACATCGTCCAGGGAAGTGATCCTTATATGTATATTCTCATCCCTACCTAGCACAAGGCTTTTTGGTAGCTCACTGGCTTCGGGTTCCGTAGGAACTCTGAAGTTAAGCGAGAAGGGGGCTAGAGCAATCCCATGATGGGTGATCCACTGGGAAGTTGCTCGTGAGTTCCCAAAAAACAAAACCGTGAAGGAATGGTAAGCCCAAAGCGGACAATATCGTACTATGGTGGTGGAGTGGGCTAGGGAAGTGATTCGCCCCGGGTCGAGATGTGACAACACGATATTGTCTACTTTGGGCTTACCATTCCTTCACGGTTTTGTTTTTTGGGAACTCACGAGCAACTTCCCAGTGGATCACCCATCATGGGATTGCTCTAGCCCCCTTCTCTATGGTGGTGGAGTGGGCCAGGGAAGTGATTCGCCCCGGGTCGAGATGTGACAACGCGATATTGTCCGCTTTGGGCTTACCATTCCTTCACGGTTTTGTTTTTTGGGAACTCACGAGCAACTTCCCAGTGGATCACCCATCATGGGATTGCTCTAGCCCCCTTCTCGCTTAACTTCGGAGTTCCTACGGAACCCGAAGCCAGTGAGCTCCCAAAAGGTCTCATGTTAGGTAGGGATGAGAATATACATATAAGGATCACTCCCCTGGGCGATGTGGGATGTCACAATCTACCCCCCTTAAGGGCCCGACGTCCTCGTCGGCACACACGCGGCCAAGGTTAGGCTCTGATACCAATTGTCACATCCCGACCCGGGGCGGATCACTTCCCAGCTCTCTCTACCATCGTAGCACGATATTGTCCGCTTTGGGCTTACCATTCAATTGTCACATCCCGACCTAGGGCGAATCACTTCCCGGGCCCACTCCACCACCGTAACACGATATTGTCCGCTTTGGGCTTACCATTCCCTCACGGTTTTGTTTTTTGGGAACTCACGAGCAACTTCCCAGTGCGTCACCGATCATAGGATTGCTCTAGCCCCCTTCTAGCTTAACTTCGGAGTTCCTACGGAACCCGAAGCCAGTGAGCTCCCAAAAGGCCTCGTGCTAGGTAAGGATGGGAATATACATATAAGGATCACTCCCCTGGGCGATGTGGGATGTCACAAAAACTGGAGAAATCATTTAGTTTCGATTGGTGTTCTGTAGCATCTGGTTGTGAGTTACAGATGTTTTCGTCTTTTTTTTTTTCTGTTCTTTTTCTGTTGATTGGAGTATAGTCTTGTTTTGATGTAGAACTTAATATTAGTGGAAAGAGCTTCACTGGTTTGTTAAATAATTTGCAACCAAGAAACTTTTTTTTTCTTTTATTGTGGACAAGTTTCAACAGAGACTAATTTTTCCATATTCATTTATTGGAATCATGATTCCTCATAGAAACATAACCTTCATGTGCTCTCTCTATTTTTTGAAATATGGGGTGTTGAAATTAAAGTGGGAACAAAACCTTCATGTGATCTTCCTATTTTTTGAAATATCCGCAGGTAAAGTATGGCACTGAATTATAAATAGAACTATATATGTATGTATCGTTATGGTGGTAAAAAGAAGTGTTAAATAACGTGATATATTTGTGCAAATGTTAGTTTTTTTTAATATATATATAACAAAAAAAAAAAAAAAAAAAACCAAGGACCCGTGGAACTAACCCGTTTCAACTAGGTCAGGTTAGGTCCAGTTTCTATATTAGAATTTACTATCCCCGACCCAGCCCAGCCCGTGCCCACCCCTACTCTTATGTCGTTATATAGGAAATTAATTGAAAATTGTAGTTGTTGAAAATTTAATACTCAAGTGCAAATTACAAAAAAAAAAAAAAAAAAACAAAGTGTTACTATGTCCACTCCTCTTTCTTATTTCCTCACCCCACTTATTTTGTCACCCACCATTCTAGGCACATGATATTTTGCCATTCACCATTAACAGTAAGAAAAATAAGAAATCATATTTTTACCACCTATTTGTATTATCTCTCTAATAGAGATAAAACCTACTTGGGTTAGCCGGCCTTACCTCTATTAGAGAGATAATACAAAAATGGTACAAATAAATGGTATGTAGTATTACTCAAGAAAAATAGAATACTATTTTTACGCCCACCATTATTCCTGAAATACACTGTTCTAAAAATCCTCACCTAGCGTCATCTAGGCCAGGTCTAGGTGCTAGGTTGTTGGCCCCCGCCCCGATTAATGCCTAGACGTTTGAAAATTAAGAAATGGCACCTAGACTTGCTGAGGCACCCTCATAGGTCGCCTAGGTGTCCACCTAGTTTGCCCAGACCCTTCTAGGTTGCAACTCACTTAAACATAAAATAGATAACTTTTATTTTGTATTTTAATTTTTCAATAAATTGTAAGAGACTTATTGAATACTTAAATGAACACACATTATATGCTTGTTCCCTATATTTTTTCTTCTATTCCAATACTTCATAATATATATATATATATATGTCATTCTATTTTGTAGTTTATGATGAAATTATATATATTTTAAATATAAACAAACACTTATTTACCCAAAATATAATAGATCTACTTAAATCCGC